GTACTTGGAGCTCCCCAAGGTGAGGAACTAAGATGTATAAATCCCTTATCTAGTAGGTCTTACAACTGTGTCTTCGACTCTTTTAACTTGACCGGGGCCATTTGATAGGGAGTTTTCAAAATTGGAGTCGTACCGGCTCTAGGTCGATCTCAAATTCTCTCTCTCTCTCTTTTATGGCATCTTCGTCAACTTTTCGGAAAATACATCTAAAAATTCTCACACAACTTCGATATCTTTTGGTTTTGACTTTTTTCCACCTAGCGATCTATCACATACACTAAGAATCCCCGAAAGCCTTTTCCTAGCATCTTTCGAGCCTTTAGAGCCGAGATGGTTGGTATGGCTCGAAACTTCGAATCGACTTTAGACTCTAGCTGTTGATTCTCGAGTAAGTCAAAAATTACCCGTCTACTTCGACGATCTATAGTGGTACCATGCTTTGTCGACCAATTCATTCCCAAGATCAAATCAAAATCTTGGAGGTCTAACACTATCAAATCAGCCTCTAGGCTCCTATCCTAAATATATACTTGGACACTCTTTCACTATACTCGTTGACTCCATATGTTCTCCGGAAGGGACAACTATAAGGTACCCTACGACTAATGTCTCGGGTTTAACACTTAGGTTTTTTACTAATTTTTTTGACATGAATGAATGAGTATCATTAGAATCAATCAAAACATAAGTAACGAAGCCAAAGAGTGAGACATTGTCATAAATCACTACCGTGTCCCTCTAGTCGACCTCCTCTTACGTCACCGTATACACCCAGTCGGTACCACTTTCGGGTCCTCGCTTCTACACTCGAGGGCGAGTTGTATGATACGTGTTTTGGCTTATGAAAGATATAATAACTCTTCATATTTGGTCGATACTCTCCGGTGTGAAACCTCATATACTTATTCTATCGAGGTTGAGCACTCATCATCGGCCTTGATTGATTATTCGGTAACAACCTCGATGTAAATGGTACTAGTCCGTCGTTCTTGTATTGCTCGGGCCACCATTTCTAGTGAACTTCCTAGGTGGACCCCATCTCACTAGTTTGGACGAAGAGGCTCGGATTTAAAATCTCTCCTCTTCTATCGTATCTCCCTTGCTATCTCTCTCTAATCTTCGTCCACCAACATAGCCTTGTCTATCATTTCGGAAAGGTTTAGACGATCGACATCTACACCATACTCCGAACCCTTGGGTTTAACCCTCCTAGGAATCGGTTCTTCTTTAGATTCTCATCCCCTACTATGAAAGGGACAAACCAACATCCTTGTTCAAACTTTTGCACATACTCACCCATGGACATATCATCCTGCTTCAATTATAGGAATTCCTGGATTTTCTTGGCTTTCACGTCCACTTGTGAAGTATTTATTATAAAAGACCTCTTTAAATCCTTCCCGAGTGAAATGAGGCACATCTACCATTATTCGTGCGCTCTCCTACTAGGTGCGGGCATTTTTAGTCGGCATAAAGATAGCATACGACACTTGCTCATTATTGACGAAGATCACTTCCAATGACTTAATCCATTCCTCTGCTATCATTGGGTTAACACCCTCGATAAACTCTTGGGGATTCATCTTTTGAAATCTTTATATTACGTCATTTGTATATTGAGGTGGAGGGGAGGTCGTTGATGCATAGCCGAAGTTGTCTTATTTGCTCCGCTTGGGTCTATTATTATTCTTGTATGTTGCCGATGTTGCATTACGTCTATCGGACAATTCAACGCGTCTTGTGCATTTTCATTGTTCACACCGGAGGTTCCTTCTCCTCCTACTCGTACGATATTTCTTTTTGATATGTTTTGACTTTGTACATGTCACGTTACGTTCGGGTTAGTTTTCATACCAAAAATCTTAATGTCATGCGTCACACAATAGGGAATAGGTAAGAATATATAAAAAACAAATCATAGCATACATACCTAACATTCATAGTGACATGCATGGCTATATCCTAAAAGGTTTTCATGTCATCATTAAATTTAAGAAGCGATTCCAATTACATCAAAAGGTGCACAAGACCTTAAAAGGTGCACGGGACACTAAATCGTATGATATGTTTCTTAAACACACATCTACTCCATCCAATTACCAATCAACAAAGCGAGCACGACGTGGAAAAGAGACTCGACTCTCCCCCAATCTATAACGTCAACCCATGCGATCCGTGCAATGTTCGTCGGCTAAAGACAAGGCTAAGCCCCAATTATACATTAACCTTGTGTAGGTTTGCCTAACCTATATCGGCAGGAAGGCTTGTATCACATTGTGATAGGAATGTCACTCTATCATGCTCTCCCCGACGAGTATCCGAGTAACTATTGATCTCGTGACAAAAGAGTCCGATGCATTGTTGTCATCGAAATGCGACACTACGATTTAGGTCAAAGGAAGCATCGGTGAATACTATTCGCTGAATCACGTCATGAACTTGGATCACATGGGCCATCGGATCCTAGTCCGAGGCCATGGTAAGGCTATTTAGCTTAGCCCAATATGCGGCGAGAGCGGCCCGCTGTCGGTGAGTCCTAGGAACGAGTGGGAACACGATAATTAATCGGCATCTATAATATAAATACTTCTTATTAACCATATGTCTACGCGAGGGCTATATAATATAAACCATATAATAAACACACACATTTACACACGAGTAAACACTTCACATTTATTAAAGATCAAAAAGTCGACTTTTCTTATGGAGTAACACATCGGTCCTCGGGTTCATGTGACACTTAGGTTTCTACCCGAATAACTATACCAAAGCTCGATACCACCTTCGTGGCGCCCCCGGCTCACTTGTCGATTACCTAAAAGGCATGGTCGGGTGCTCCACGGTTAGAGACCGAAGTCTCAAATTTTAATCCCATACACATACATAAGGTATTGAATATCATCACAAAAGTTATAAAATATAATTTATAATTAAAAGTAGATCCTATAATTGTCGGTTCATACATGAGCCTTTTTCGGGAGGAATCGATAGCTTCATTATCGGCATTATTATCATCTTTCCTTATCATAGCATGAAATAAACATAGAGTGATCCGAAGCTTAATAACTAGGGTGATGCACGTGATATGCAATGATTTTCCGACTCCTCCACCTTGACTCATCAAATTTTAATTTTGGATACATTGAGTATTTAGTAGGTCTACTCTATTTTTAATCCAGGTGATTACCAAATCACCTTCTCGCTAACAATAGAATTATCCCTCATTGTAGCCACTGTTAGCGAGAATCTATCATCTAACAATGCGAGCACACAGCTTAAAGTATGCATACAAGTTGGGTCGCTAATACCCATTTATTCTTGTAGGTTACCAAACCTATCTAATTCAATCCAATTCTATTACCAAACCTCATCGTTTCGACTCACTTGTTTTTCTCAAGTCAAACAATTTCTCGTATGCATATGATGCACATGATGTATCATGAACCATATTCCATATCTCATAGGCACCAAACTCTTTATGTCCATATTCAATCCACACTTGGGACTTCATTAATATTTTCATGGTATTCTCATACGAAATACATAACCCATCTATTAGGTTTACTCAAGTCTCATATTTTAGTCCTAGTTTAAATGACATTTAATATGAGCCTTAATAGCCGACTTATAATTTTAGTGGTTCCAAGTCCAAATTTCGATTTTTCTTGAATCCTCTTCTTCTAATGCTTCATTTTATACTTATTAGAGTATAAAAAAATCATTACTCATAAAGTTGGGTGTTTGGAACTCAATCTCTAAAAGTCGATTTTAAGCCGAGTGTTTCCTAGTAAAAACCGAATTTTTGTTTTTCTTAGTATCCAACCTTTTTACACTTTATTTTATGCTTATTTAAATAAATTTAAACCATTGATTCATAATTTGGGTGAATGATATTCAAAACCCAAATTCTAGGGTTTTTAGCCGAATGGGTTAATTAGGGGCAAAGGTTTGTCTTTTGTTCCTAAGTCTTTTCTTTCCATCTTTATGTACTAAATTATACTTAAGTGGATTACCTTAGAAGTATAGATCTTTAGGTCCATAAACATAAATCCAACTTGGCCATTTTAGTACTAAGGCCCAATAAGTGTCATTAGGATATCCAAGTTCATTTTGTTTTAATCCAAGTCTATTTTATTTTAATCCAAGCCCATCTTGTTTTAATCCAAGCCCATTCACACACATCTTCCAAACCCATATGGTTATAACCAAACCAAACCTATCCACACATATAACCTATCCACACATGTAATCCATTTTAGTACTAAGGCCCAATAAGTGTCCTTAAGAAAAATGGCAAGACTTATGCTTTCTTTCAAATCTTATATCACACTTTTCCCTTCATTTATTAATAGTCCAAGTGTCAAAATTTTATGATAAACAAAGGTCAAATGATGAGACTAAATGAGAAATAAGTTGACCATTTAAAAATCCAAGTGGGCTAGGTGTCACACTTTTAGAAAAAGTGATAGATTTGGTATCAAATCAAGTACAAAATATGGGAACTAAAAAGATAACTAAACTAATTAAACTAACCAACTTCCTTACCTCATTTGGTTCCTAAAATTCGGTCATGCACCTTGTTTAGGTAATTCTTTTACTTGCATTGTCATTTTAAATATAACATTATGAAAAAATAAATAATGTCTAATTAAATTCCCAAAAAGGATATTCCTATGAACACTTCCATAAACCTTAAATATTTTCACACCACAAATATAAAAGAAATGACAAATAATTTATACTTACATAATTATGAACATTTCAAGAGATATTTTGGCTCGGGAATTAAAATTACGATGTGTCAAAATTTTTATTTTATTGAATCCTATAACTCTTTACATAAACATAAATCATATTATTATCTCCAAATATTAATCGCACTTAATACTTTATACATACGGATATAATATATCAGTAGCACCGATAGTTAGGTTAAAGAATTTCGCGAGGGTTACGTTATAGAATCTTGGTCATTGCTTCCTTCTCTTCTCATGTGGATGATCAAGGATACGCTTGATTTAGTTGATAGTGTGCGACTAGCTGCTGTTTGTAAAAATTGGTGGCTTGCATCGACATGCGATCCCACGAAGCTTCAATGTGCTAGGGACAACCTAGTGTGGATTACGCAATACAGCGACTACGACAGCATTTCACAGGAGTTCATTTGTCTATCAAGAGATGAAAAGTATACCACAGACCTGCCAGAATTTTATAGATCGGTACCACTATTTTCAAAGCAAGGGTGGCTTCTTTTTGCAACAAAGGAAAGATGAGACGAGGCTGCCAGATTCAATATTCTGTATGAATGCATTTACCAAGGTTAAAATTAAAATGCCAGATGTAGAAGATACATCCAGTCCATATGATGGCTCTTTTTCCATAGTTGATGGTTATCCTCACCATGTTGTCCTTTTTAAGCAAACTTTTCTCGTGAACCTCAAAGTAGCATATCCAGGAGATAAAAGCTGGAGTCAGCATTGCTATGCTGGTCAGAGGATGGAAATTGATAGCCGTGCTGGACTTACTGTTGGGGATCATGTGTATTGCTTTGATATATGTGGAGTAAGTATGATTATTTATAGCTTGACGACTCGAGAGTGGAAACAACTGAAGGTTGGATGCGCCTCGTGGTGTCGCATGAAGGAGAGATCATGAAAGTTGTGCCGAAAGAGTCTAATGCTCGCAGTTTGAAAATCTATAGGTATAATGGCACCGCCCTTCGTTGGGATCGTTTAAATGACAATGACGTGAAGGACATAAGTTGGTTCTTCCTGTGTGTGTGTGCATGCTAGCTATTCTGTGAAAGGGGAGGGGTCGAAAGTTTACGTCCTTCAAGCAAAAAGAAATCTCAGAATTGTTAGGGCACTTTGTGGCTATCAAATTGAGGTTTATAATCTCAAAGACGGCAGCAAAGAGATTCTTTCTCAGGATGTCTACCTGCCATCTCCAGAGTGGGTTGATATGGGATGACTACGAAGATTTGTTATTGCTCTGAAGTCAGGCATGAAGTTTGTGTTACTTATTTTATTCTTTTTGTATTGAGGGTTTTATTTATTACAAATATTTTGAGCCGATTTTCATTATAATTATTAAATGTAAACAGGATCTGAATTTAGCACTATTCTTTTTCCTTTCAATACCTGTTTTTTTTTTTTCCTCCACTATTTCAATCCTGAAAGTAGAATGGTGGTAAAGATTTTTCATGGAGCATAGATGATTGGGGTGTTGTTTCTGACCTTGAAAAAGACAAACTTGGATGATTGTTGGTGGCATTAAGATAAAAGTAATCAAAAGGATAATTTTATTTTATTTTTTTGAAGATTTTATGTTAAAAATATTTATATTTATAAAGAATATTGATTTTTTATTAGTGAATAACAAAGAAAAAAAGACATAATAGATTTTTTTAATCAATTAGAGGTATTTTATTATTTTAGAGAGTACAATATTTAGTGTTCTGACGAAACAAGTATTTTGATTGATATCCTTCACCTCTTTCCCTTCCCTTCCAAACACAGTAATCTTTTTTTTATTCAGACAATACGTTACAAGGAACCGTAACAATAATTTCACTCTCCCCAAGGATCAATTTGACCTCTAAGGGTAATTTTTAGTTGTTAACTTTAGATAATGATAATCTTAAATGATGTTATGTTTTTTTTTTTTTTTTTTTAATATATATATATATCAAGTAAGTTGTGAGGAAGAAGCTTTTATGTCTGGATTTTGTATGGATATTTTTTGTTCGCAATTGTATAATTATAGTGACTATATCGATCTTCAGTATGCAGTAGTAGTTGATGTGAGCACCCATTTTTAACCCTCATATCTCCTTTTAGTTACAACAACCTAAAAAATTCTTAGTGGACATCATCATCCAATTGAAACCAAAATAAGAGAACAGAATTCAATTCCTACGCACACATGACTCAGCCTCTCATATATCCATCCAGACCTACTTTCAGTTTCATTCACCTATTTTTTTTTGCTAAATAAACAAATTACTTGCCATTTACAAATAATGCCCTTTGTTTTATACCTGATTCCATCCAGACACGCTCTTTAATTATTTTCCTATTTTTTCATTAATCAATGTTTTACTTACCTCTTTTTAGGTGACACAACGTCAGATTCATCTACTATTTACACACTCATCATAAATCATCTCATTTTTTAAACTCCCAAATTTATCCCCAACGCTTAAGCAGAATTCCAATCTCAACAGGACACCTCTGCCATTAACTGGAGATTCGAAGGGCAATTCAAGTCATTAAACGAGAAAGGTAAAAAAATAAAAATAAATTTGTTGTCCTCAGAGGAGAATCTGTAACTCCCACAGAGAGAGAGAGAGCACAGAAACAAGAACGAGAGAGAGAGAGAGAGAATTAACAACAACAGTGGTTAATCTCTTATGTTTTAGTAAAAGTTATTATTCACAGTAATCCATGATTATAACTATCTCTTTGTAAAATCCTACAATCTCTCTCTCTCTTCTTCTCCTCTTTGAGCTCGGTTTTGTTTATTTAGCGACATATTCTCTCATTCTCGGTAAGTCTGTGTGTATGTCTTCGATTGTAAAATGTTTCGCTTTGTTCTTTTATGTTTAATTATAAGATCTGAGGAAGCTAGGGTTCTTTACTACAATTCCATTTCATGTTTTTTTTCCCTATTCTTTTCTGTCTAATTCAAGCTTCATTTTATATGATTTTGATAATTTCCCAATCTGATTTTCATTTTTTTTTTTTTTTGGGGGTCTTGATTTTCTTTTGGGTTGTGTGTGTGTGTGTTTTTTTTTTTTTTTTTTTTGTAAGTTGAGAGTTGTTCAAATTAGGGCTAAAAAATGCACCGCCATCTTAATTGAATTGGGTGAAATCTTTAATTTATGAGTGTGGGTTAGAGATTAACTTGTGTTGCTTGGACATGTGAAATTTTGGGATTTATGAAATTCTTGGGGACTCATAATTTTAAAATTCACGGCTTTGTAGAAGTCGAAATGGGTTTCTGAAATTGTTTGTGATTGCAACCATGCATGCTTGCTTATGGGTATGCTGTTTTTGTTCATTGGGTGTTCTTGTTTCTTCAAAGTTTAGGGAACTACTTGGATAGTAGAATTTATTATAGGGTAGTGCTAAGAGCAGTTGTTTATTCAACTAGCTATTTAGACGTTCTATCGATCTCACTGTTGGTGAGATTATCACGCGAAACTCCATTGGTGGGACCCACAACCATGGTTTTAAATTTCAGTAACGATCGTGATCCCGTGGCAATTGTGGGAGTTAGGTAATGGTCACGGCTGTTGCTGTTGTGGAGTTGTTTACAATTTTAACAAATTTACTTTAGTTCACAGGTTTTAATAATTTTACTATAAATGACAATCTTGATACTTTAAATGAGTAAATATCTTAGTTTTCATGGAACATAAGTGTGTTACCTTATTTTCTGATTAAAGCTTTTGGCAACTAAGCTTAATACATGCATAGCTAAGAGATTCTATTAATGCTTTCCTAAAAGTAATACATTGACAGTTTTCAAGTGAAATGGCCACAGCATGTTGATTGCTGCAATGGCTGTTACGGTCAACCAATGGCTTTTAGGTGTTATTCTGATTTTTTTTTCCTATAACTCTAAATAGTGGAATTCGAACCCTCTGGTTCCATTGCGTTATGGCAATTATTTAATTCCATGCCCACCATGTGTTGATTTATAAACAACGAGATCTGCAGAATGTACAGATAGTTTCTTGAAACAACTGCTCTTAGCATGTTGCTAAAAATTCTATATCTGGTTTTCATAATTTAGTTTGAGCAATGCATTGGGTTGTTGATTGGTGCGCATGCGTTAACACTTATGCCATTTCCTGAAGGAGGATATTTCTACACATGTATGACATGTTTTTTTAAGCCAGCTTCTTTGATTTATGTTCAACCAGTTTGCTTGAAATGCCATGCTGAGATGTTTTTATTGATGTTCCAGTTCTAAGCCCACCTCAACATGCCAGTGCATATATACAACACAAGATATATTTATGTAATTGCTTTCATGTTTCTCTGATATATATTCCTTTTAAATAGGCAAATGGATGGGCCATCTCACAGAGGCAGTGGAAGTGTTGACATGTATTTACCAAATTACAAGCTTGGTAAAACCCTTGGAATTGGTTCTTTTGGCAAGGTGAAAATAGCAGAGCATGCATTGACGGGGCACAAAGTTGCCATCAAGATACTTAACCGCCGTAAGATAAAAAACATGGAGATGGAAGAAAAAGGTATGCATTGTCTGTGACTCGTTTTCTAATTGCGTAATCTGCTGTTCCATTATCTTCAATGATGGATGCTCCTATTAGTGACATGAATGGATGATTTCTTTCCATAGTAATTATAACAGCTTTCATATGATAAAAAGGTCATTTGAAACCTGAAATATAAAATGCTATACTGAGACTACGAAAATTTATATCTGAGGTTATTTTTACATTTTTTTTGTGTGGAGTTGAAGGCTTTACTTGTGTTTTATTTGTGGGTGATAGCTGTGCTCAAATTTTCAAGGATTGGTGCAGTTTATTCGATTGGCTTATGTGCTCCCTTTTCTTCTCTTTTGCAGTGAGAAGAGAAATCAAAATCTTGAGATTGTTTATGCATCCTCACATCATACGACTATATGAGGTTATAGAAACACCAACTGACATATATGTTGTCATGGAGTATGTGAAGTCTGGGGAGCTCTTTGATTATATTGTGGAGAAGGGTAGATTGCAGGAAGACGAGGCACGTAATTTCTTCCAGCAGGTACTATTGCTTACTAATATACATCACAGTTCTCATGTAATTTATCTTCATTTCCCAGTTCTGTTACAACATGCCAAATTTTTTTTGGTGCAGATAATTTCCGGTGTGGAATATTGCCACAGGAATATGGTTGTCCATAGAGACCTTAAGCCTGAGAATCTGTTATTGGATTCTAAATGGAATGTGAAGATAGCTGATTTTGGGTTGAGCAATATAATGCGAGATGGTCATTTTCTAAAGACGAGCTGTGGAAGCCCAAACTATGCTGCCCCAGAGGTACAGAGTTGTGGCATTACTGGTTAATGGATTTATAAACATTTAATTAGAAGAGGAGGCACTCTCTGCACCCTTCTATTTCATGTAAAGTACAGGTGTCCCTTGTATTGGTTTTAACCTGAAGGTTATCTTCTGCATCATCTGTTTATTTGATTATTTTTTAGGTGATTTCTGGGAAATTGTATGCTGGACCTGAAGTAGACGTATGGAGCTGTGGTGTTATATTGTATGCTCTTCTCTGCGGTACACTACCTTTTGATGATGAAAACATTCCCAACCTCTTTAAGAAAATAAAGGTATTGGAATTCTTTTGACTAGGATCAGTGTATATCTAAAGAGCTTTCACAACACTTTTCATGGTTTTGGATTGTGAACATTCTTTTGACTTATTTTTCAATTTATTACTTATCTTATAGACTCAGTCATGCATGCTTGGACATGGATTTTGCATTTCTGCAGAATGTTCTGGGTCTCAGAGTTCATTTCTGTTTTTTGAATTTTTTTTCTTAATTTTGAAGACCCTGAAATATAATTCCCATGCATGGCTTCACTGGACTTCACTCATTTTATTGGGTCTTTTTTGTTTTTTTCTGGATGACATGACCATCTTATTTGAGCAACCTAGTTCCCATATAATTGTTTTTCTGACAATAATTTACTGTATTGTAATATTCCCTTCATTAGTACAGTTGAAATATAAAAATAATGCCTCTTTATTGTCCAACAGTCTTCAACGCTGAGAACCATTATTTTAAAAATTTTACACAAATGAAGCGGGGAAGAATTTGTAAATATTAATATGACTAATTATTGAAATATAATGCAAGATTTAAACCAGTCACCCCTTAAGCTTTCTACTAGAGATTTCAGCATCAACTGCACAAGTATCTATTTTACAGTTACTTGGCGGATCACATCTTTAATGATCAGTCTAGTGTTTGTCATCTTCTTTTCTTTATTTATTGGTCTTGGATTTGCTGATTTTGTAAACTATCAGGTATTAAAGATCATAAATAACACATATTTAAATTATTGCCCTGGTTTATAATGTGATGGGGAAGCAGCCAGCTTAAGCATTTGAGTTGTTATAAGTTCTCTAACATAGTATCACTGGCTGTCCATCTGTGGCGCATGTGACGTTTCATGTTCTTTATGGGTTGTTCTGCCATTAGATTCTCTTGCATTTGATTGTGGCTGTGCCATTTGCTAGGCTGATCATGATTTGATAGTGGTTTATAATGCTAGGCTCACATAGCATGTGCCTAGAGTTCAATTTAAGAATATGAATCCTGTGTTGTTAAGACAAGTAGTGTTGCCATGGTTTATAATATGGAGGAGCTCGTCTATCTAACAACTTAAATTAATGGCTGGTCATGAGTTCTCTAAGACTAGGGTGACTTTATTGTATCACTTGCCCATGGATTTAACTTATCCTGTCCTCTGTCTAACAACATTTTTTTTTCTTTAGGGTGGGATATACACTCTTCCCAGCCATTTATCACCTGGCGCAAGAGATCTCATCCCAAGGATGCTTGTGGTTGATCCAATGAAGCGAATGACCATCCCTGAAATTCGTCAACACGCATGGTTCCAAGCTCGCCTTCCCCGTTATTTGGCTGTGCCTCCACCAGATACAATGCAACAAGCTAAAAAGGTTTAGTCTATAATTTTATTGCATATTTATGAAGAGATTTATCAAGCAATGTATTGAACTATTGGTTGTCATTGCTACAGATTGATGAGGAGATTCTCCAGGAAGTGGTCAAGATGGGATTTGATAGGAACCAACTAATTGAATCTCTTCGCAACAGAATGCAAAATGAGGTTTGGACCTTTCAGAACTCTGATTGCTCTATTAAAACTCCTTTTTATACAATAATCAGATGTGGTCTCATCAATTGACATGGTTTTTTCAGGCTACTGTTGCTTACTATCTATTATTGGACAATCGGTTTCGTGTTGCCAATGGCTATCTCGGAGATGAGTTCCAAGAAACAATGGTGCGTTTGGTTTCCCAAGTTTACTGTAGATAAGAAGAAAATTTGTGACCACATTGTATTTTATGGATAGGAAGTCATCTTGAGTTGATATTGGTTTTTTAAAATAGACTTGGACCTCTAAGTTTTCACATGTGTGTGTGTGATGTGCCTAGGTGGGATATTACTGTATGCACTGCTGTTTCAATCTTTTTAGGGTCAATGGTTATATTTTGCTCTTAACAATATTTTCCTTCGACTCTTTCCCCCTTCTTTTTTTGTTTGACCAGAACCAAAAAAAAAAAAAAAAAAAAAAAAACCATTGGAGCCTTTTTGTTCCATTTTCATATTGATCCTTTTTGTTCTGAATTTTATAGGAATGTGCATTCAATCGAATGCATCCGAATGAACCTTCTTCTCCAGCTTCGGGGCACCGCCTTCCAGGATTCATGGATTATCAAGGAATGGGTTTGAAATCACAGTTCCCAGTAGAGAGGAAATGGGCTCTTGGACTTCAGGTTAAGTTTCTTTGCTTTTTAGGTGTTTCCAATGGGGTAGGATGCTAAGAGTCAATTTCTATATGAATGAAGGGGCTTTGATTGTTTGATCAGCAGAAGAGTCCCAAGGTTTTTGATGCGTGGGTATACAAGTAACGTAATTTACAAAGAAAATTCAAGTTTACTTGTTTAGCCCATTATGTTTGGGAAGTATAGGCAATCATTTCAAGTGATTTAGTTTGTGTAACATGTGAATTGATGATGAAGTGAACTGCTTTATTATGACTACCTGTCATTATGTTACAATTATAATTGATCATATATTCCCCCACACTTTGACAGTCTAGAGCACACCCGCGTGAAATAATGACAGAAGTTCTCAAAGCGTTGCAAGAACTGAATGTATGCTGGAAGAAAATTGGTCAGTACAATATGAAGTGCAGATGGATTCCAGGCACTCCTGGTCACCATGAAGGAATGGTTAATGATCCACTGCAGAACAATCATTTCTTTGGGGATGAACCCACCATCATTGAAAATGATGGAGTCATTAACTCACCAAATGTGGTCAAGTTTGAAGTGCAGGTAATGTTAAGCATTCTGATTGCTTCTTTAATTACTGCATTTGGACCTCCCAGAAAGAACTTGCACATGAAAAGTCTCTCACTTGTTGGGGTCTGTGAGTGAGCCCCTTTTTCTTTTCTTCTTCTTCTTCTTCTTCTTTTTAAAAAACAATAAAAAAAGATGCTTTAAATGTTGTTTTGATATGGAGGTCTCTAAATGTTGCACTGCTGATTAAGGATCATTTTTCCTGTCAGTAGCTCTGTAGATTATTGGATAGAGTTGATTTCCAGAGTGTGATGGCTAAGATTAAAGGTATTACTAATATTTGTGTTATTGCAATGGTTTTGACAGCTGTACAAAACTCGTGATGAGAAGTACCTGCTGGACTTGCAAAGAGTGCAGGGCCCTCAGTTTCTCTTCTTGGATCTTTGTGCAGCTTTTCTTGCTCAGCTTCGAGTCCTATAGGTAGAACTTTTGTGAGGACCTTTACCCATGGATCTCTTGTCATGCCTGTGAATAGGAATTCACTCATGATGTATATAACTTTTCCGGCCTAAGCCTTGTCTTCACTTTTTTAAATTTTCTCTTGGTTTTATATTGGTAATGGTTGTTTGAGGCCAACATCCTACAGTGCAGGTGGTAAAATCATCAGTAGTCTTGTTTCTTAAAGTGGTTTTATCTTAACTAAAGATTTATCTCAAAGTTATGTGACCAATGGGGATTTTTCTTTTTAAAATTTATGAGAGGATTAACCAAATCTAGTTGCTTTTCATCAAATTATGCCATTATTGTAACAATAATAGTGCATCCAAATGTTTTTGTAATTATATGTTTCAAACTATGAGCTAGACTCGAAAGGCTCAAATGAGCTCTAAAATTGGACTGTCTTTAATATATATATATATTGTTTTTTTGGAGAAAGACAATTGTAATTAGTCTAATACATTCATTTGTGCAGAAGGGCATATATATTGTTTTTTTGAGAAAGACAATTGTAATTAGTCAATAATACATTCATTTGTGCACAAGGGCAAATCGTACAACCTTTATTCTAGTTCTCTCTTAGTATTTTTTTCTGTCCCCGATCTGGCTCTTTGTTTGATTTTGGATCATAACCGGACGAAGAAACGACTATATATTATTGGAAGTATTTTCTTTGCCTTCCCTGCTACAGACAGTTGGTGCCTTGGCGGCAAGAGGGAGCACGAAGAGCAAATTTTGGTTGAAATTGTTTGCCCTATTTGGTCGAATGATGGATGATCATCTGGGAGAGCGACATATGGCTCGATTGCTTGATTTACTGGATTGGAATCACGAACCACGAAAGATTCTTGTTTTTGTCTTTCTCCACTTTCCTATTTGTCACCGTGGTTTCTTGTCATGAGCGTCTTTCCGTCTTTCCTTCCTGCCAGTGATCATCTTCAGCTACTAATGCGCCCACTGCCTCCAGTGGGACTGTCATCTGAAAGTAACTGAAGATAAATGAGGTGTACCTTCATTGATTTGAAGCATTCCAGCCTACAACTCTGGTCTAAAATTTAAAAAGAAAGAGAAGAGAAGAGCCTACAACTCTGGTATGAAATTTAAAAAGAAGAGAAGAGAAGAGGAGATTGGGTTTAATACACCTCATGCTTTTGTATTTTAACAAAATTATGATCACAGTCCATGTACTCATATATTGTCCATAGCCGACCTTATGCTATCTATTGGCACTTCTAAAATCAAGTGTGGTATCTCATTACAATGAGACAAGTAAAAACATAAATAAAATTGTGTGCTTAGTCTTATAAATTAATCAAATTTCGACGAAGCATTAAGTCTTAAATGAAACGGTGCGTTTGATCTTATAACCAATCAAGTTTCGACAGAGCATTAGGTTTTAAATGAAATGATGCATTTGGTTGTATAACTAATCAAGTTTCGACGAAATCATAAGACTTAAGAAAAACGATGGGTTTAGTCTTGTAATCGACCAATTTTGACGAGACAATATGCCTAAAGGAAATAAAAGGATAGTTATCAAATAACCGTTCACGCTTAATTTTAAATCCAAGATAGTTATCAATCAAGAGTTATTTAAAGAAAGGGGGACTAATATAATCGAGATGGATGAACAAGTACAAGACTTTTTCAAGCACAAGTTTATTCAAGTTCTCTAGTTTATTCTATAACAATTAGTTTCTACTTTCCCGCAAGTAGTTCGATAGCTTTTACTTGCTTTTAATAGTTTTGTCATTGTAACTTAGAAAGTGTTAATTTGTTAGTGATTGTGGACAAATGATTTCGAATGTCTCAATAGCTAAAGATGTAAGTGTCATATTTTTCGATCTATGATATTTACATTCTTTTCAATGAATTTTGTCTCTTTCGATTGATAAAATTCTTTCCATCTATTGAATATTATTTCTCTCAATTAATAGCATTCCTTTTATTTTATTTCTTTTTTGTTAAATTGAGTACCCACGTAAAGTCTTAGTGGCTAGCTAAGCAAAACCGAACCCTATATTATTTCATTGCGAAGGTTTTGGTCATAAATTGAAGCATCAATATACTCCATTTTGAGATCGAATTCGATGAGCAATAACAAGTTTTGGTGACCATGGTGGGAGAGAAATGTCAAAACATGATACTACTAAAAGTATAATAAGTCGTCAACTCTCTAAAGGGGACCAAATTGACAAAACACTTTATGTTTCTATCAAAGGTATGGTCCATATTTTGGAAGGTGAACCTATAGCAGAATCCATGTAGAATCACAATCATAGGAAAACTAAGGATGATGACAAAGCGGAATCGAAAAATGTAACCGACAAAGGACAACATGATAGTTGAAACAGGTTTGATGTCGAAAATCGAAAACATGTAGGTTTAGACAAATGTGATGGTTCCATAAACCAAAACCATGATGTCTAGGAACAAACACTCGAAGAACGAGTTGTTGAATTTCAACAAATGCTCGTCAAACCAAACTAAAGAATTGATAAAAAGGATATATGATCCATCTTTGAATATCAACAATCAAATAAATTGACAAATACAGTTAATGTCAAACCAACTCAAGGAGGATATTAACAAAATAAGAGTTTCCATAACCGAGTCATCAAGGAAAAATAATGAAAATATTACTAACCATAATATTGAACTATCGAATTGCATGCATTACCATGGTGACAGAGTGATTACGGATGTTAATCACTTGTTTAGTGAGACTCTTATTCTATTGGCGAGACAAGTTGCCAAGAAAGTAGAGATTACTATTAAACTAAGGTTCGAGACAACCGCAAGCGTTACTCGAATAATAAAAGAGGATGTTTGATGACTTATGGTTTTAGCATAAGAAAAAAGGAAAAAGCCAATTGAATAGAGAAATTTCAACATCAACGGAGAAGTAAGATCATCAAAGATCAAGCCAACAAAAATTCCTTAAGTTACCTACTACCGTTTCTAATAGACCTTTTGAGATAAAAAATAATCATGATGTATTGCGGAATACTTATGGATATGCTCATTATAACGAAACTAATAAGAATTCATTCTAGGCACCTTCTCTAAGTAGATCGACACAACCTATACCTTTATATTATGGTCCTTCTCCAAACATACATTCAAGAGCAACAAGCAATTTTCCACCACGGAACATGTTAACTATGGCGAGCAATTAGAGGAAATGGTCCGGTGCCACATCTTGCCCACGGAAATGCACATGGAGAAATGAATCAAGAGGCTTTGGCTAATATGATCAAAAGAATGTATGGATCGTGAATGTAAAGGGTTAATCGTCTTGTTTAGCGAAAGCCATATCCAAATTACGTCAATAGGGAATATCCTTTTCCTATCGGATTTCGAGCTCCCAAATTGACTCTTTTTTCTAACAAAGATAATGTTTCTGCTTGTAGAATATGTTGCTAGATTTACTTTTCACTATGGAGAGTTATCGGGAGATGATTTTCCGAAACTGTGACTTCTTTCTAGTTCTTTACCTGCTGTAGTATTTACTTGATTTATTAATTTGTCACCAAATTCCATCTTCACTTGATGGGATATGCATAATGCATTTCAAGCATAGTTTTCGAGAACAAACCTTGGGATTTCAATGGTAGATTTAGCAAGATTAAGACAATTTCATGATGAATGTGCGGAATAATTTCTTTCAAGGTTTAGAAGAGCTAGAATTCGATGTCAAGCCTATTTACACGAAAGCGAGTTTTTATGCTTTGCATAGGATGGATTGGATTTTGAGCTCGGAAAAAATTTGAGGATATAGTGTTTCGGGATCTTTTTGAACCGATAGAAAAGGCCATCAAGGTTCGAAGCAATTCTACAAGAATAATCACTTCAAAAAAAATACCATGGTTGGAATATATTATCAAGATTCCATGATGGTTAATGTTGATTTTGCAAAATATGTTAAAGGAAAGTCAATAGTACGTAAATAGTTAGACTAAAAGAATGTACAAGATCTTATAAGTTTTAAGTCAAAAGAAGATCGTAAATATTCTTTCAACCTTAATAAAACGAGACTTGATCTTTGATTGGCTTTTAGTCAACAATAGGATTAGAGTAAAAGGAAAACGTAAATTGCCTACTTCAAAAGAGTTGAAAAAGGAAAATTCTATCAATGGCACAATGGGCCATCCCTTTCAACTAATAATTATTTTTTATTTAGGAACTCAATTCAATACTTAATAGAGTCAAAAGAATTAATTTTTTTTTTGATAAAGAAGAAATTATAAAAGTTAACGGTAATGCTTTTTCTAAAATTGTCGAGGTTTGACCTTTGATGTTTTTAACTTGTCCGATTTATAGGAACATCTTCTTATATCAAAAGTAACCAAAGTGGCTAATCGAGTTTTCAATCGTACGCTCGATAAGGGATTCTTTAATTTTTTCATTTTGAAGACCCAAAGCTCGATCATTATCGCAAGTGGCACATTATCACTCTACACATAACCGATAAGTGCTATAACTTTATGGATTTTTTAAATGATCATAGAGATTATGATTGGTATGTCCTCACCCATGAAAAAGGAGTTAGCTCGGTTCTAGCTTCACTTAGGCGAAAACATATGTTGATAAAGTCAAAAAGTAGTTGAAAGATTCTAAATTCAACTTCAAAAGAGGTACTTTGGCCATTGAACGAGGCCAAAACTAGTTGAATTGCCAAAAAATAGCGACTAAGGAGCACCGAATAGAAGGATCATCTTCTTAAGTGGCTTCAAAGAAAAGGCCATTACTTGGAGAAAGTTCAAATTCAAAGGGATCAAACAAAAAAAAAGACCTAAGTCAACACAAATTCTATAACAATTGTGCAAAGAAGATGAGGAAAATGATTGTCACTCATCAAATGACTTAGAACCTAGTAATTTCAACCGGAGAAACAATCGCTCAAGTGGAGAAGATCATAAATGATGCACAAATAGTATACTTTTTAAGGAATTATAAATATTCTTCTCCTGCTCGAGAAC